AAAAAAATTTGTTAATACCAAATACCACAGTTTAGAGTTGCCAAAGACTAAGTTAACTTCCTGACAAAATATACCGTAATGCAGGCTTAATCTCATTCTCAATAAGCCCTGTGAGAGCAAAATTTATGCTTCTATCAGTTTTTACTGTTTATTTTAAATTTGCTTTTCATTCATTCACCTTTTTTCTTTGCAATTAGCAATTTGCACAGGATAGACAGATAGTGCACTCTCTGGACTTTTCTTTACAAAGTCAATGGGCACAATCCCTACAGCTATTTGATCTTTGCCTCCAAGGGGTCGTCCATCTATCTTGATATTGAACTCCATATGTGGGGTGTTAGCTCCTTACAATCGCTGCTCTCTTATGGCCCATATCAAAACAGAGTTTAGGTCGACACCACATGATGGAAAGTCTGTTTCTAATTCTGTTGTTTTCAGTGTCGATTCTATGATGATGGGTTGATAGATGGTGGAGAGGTGGATATGCATGTAGGTGTAAAACATGACAGTGGATTGAAGATATTTTGGCTTGAAGGAGATGAATCACTACTTGAAAAACTCATTTCAAAGTCCGAAGAAGGTCTGATTGGTAAAGTTGTGGACATTGAAGGGCTAGTAGATGGACTGTTACTTGAGATTGAAGAAGTGTGTGAGGCATTGGCGCCATTTTTTGGCGCCAATAATTCCTCTGATAAACTGATTCTATTCACTGCAGTTATCACAGAATTGAACTGGCTCGAATGAAGCAAGTCGATACTTGAGAGGTCTCGCTGTCTCAGCAGTCCTGAACACAGACCAAAAGTAGACACAACATAGACGGGACGACTTGGCAATCTGTTCTTGAATGGCAGTTGATTGTCAGTGGCTTTCAGCTTTCCCGCAGAAATGCTGACTACTTCATTGGGAAATTCTACGAAGAAATCATTCCTGACAATGTCGACAGGGTTGCGATTGCAGATTTCCTTCGTTAGGACGTACCAATTCTTTTGTGGGCCGAGGGACTCGCTTGTGACGCCACAAATCGAGCTACCAAGCGAGGGCATATTGGCCATGTTAGCTCAATGAGCGTGGAATGCTCATCGGCAAATGAATTAACTTTCCAAATCATTGTTTATATCTTCAAACCTCCCGCTTAAAACTGAAAGTGTGAACTATTAAAAAGTAACTCGTACAAGATGGCCGTACAAATTAGAAAAATCGCCAGGGACCTCCACTGTGACCGATTAGGACTGAGTACGATTGAATATGATGCAATATTCTGACGCTGTCCATACACATGACATGACAGGTAAAAACACTAGAAGGAACAGCCAAGCTCATTTCCTTGCTGCTGTTGAGGAATCTAGATTGCAATCTCGTGATTGTTCTGATAAAGGAGGAGAAAATGACAATGTGTCTTGGTATATGCTCTCCCAAAGAAGAACAGGAAAAGGGAGCATGATTACAGGTTTTTCTTTGCCTGAGCTTACATTTTTTTCTCAAGTTCTCTTTCCTTAGCCTCGGTTGTGAGTTGTAATATTCACATATTCAGACAAAACCTGTGGCATTTTAATCGCTTCGTACTGTTCCATAGTATGCACATTCCTTATATACAATGGACCTTGATAAAAGAAAATAACACATTTGTACACATTTGTAAACAATTTCTTATTGTTTAGGGTTCTTTTAAGCCCCAGTTTTCTTTTGCTTTTGTTAAAGTAAATATACAAGTTCAAGTAGTCATTGCATCTCCAAATTGTTCTTTATTTTGCATTTTTTTTTATCAGGCAAGAGTACCCACAATCAGCGCAAACTTGCTCAGCTATGATATGCTTTCAAAATACCATTCACGATATAGCACAGCTCTAGCTAGTACTTTGCGGCCAACTCATCTCAACTTAAGTTGCACACTGAAACATTTGTAACGTGATGTGCAACAACAAAAGAGAAACGCGATGAGTGAACATCCCCAATATTTACGCATGGTTATTATTATGTATTAGCAAGCTATGATATACGTGATACAGTAAAGATCACCATTCCCCCTACGAAGGCTGCATGAAAAAGAAATAACGCATTTTCTTTTTTAAGCGTTTTGTCCAACATATTTCCGATTTGCCCGCCAACTGGTTGGTTCAGTTCATTGAGCATCAGACTTTTGTGCAGGAAGTTGTGGTTTGGGTCCTGGCTGGACCAACACTCAGGGTATTTAAATAACTGAGCAGAAAGAACTACTGAGGACGTAAAGAAACCCTGGCAGTGAGTACCCTCAGTGTCTACAACTCATACTAACCATCTCAGTCATGTTTGTAAATTGCATAAAAAAGCAATCGTACATTCACACTGTGTAGAGCGGCTTTGATTATACCTACATAAAAGGGGCGCTATATGTAAGTCTGCGTATTTTCCCTGCATTTATCCTTTTCTTGAAAGGTAATTAGCTCTCCCATACTTTTGCCACTAAACCTTCGTTCGTCTTCTCTCCAGAAGATAAGTTTTGAAATGGAGGGCCACTTCGCCATATAAGTAGCAAGCTTCACTTCTTCCATTCCTTAAAGTGCTACTACGACGAAAATCGTAGTTTATGATCAAAATATCAGTAGTAAAG